GAATCTAGATAAAAAGCACGGTAAATAGTTGATTCCGTGATAGGGTTCATGTCCAACCTATTCAGTAAGAATCATAAAGTTGAATAACCGAACCGCTGAGTCAGACAATGACTATAAGGTGCCTACTGATGGACGCGGCAAGTTGCCGCGCGCGGCAGTTCAGAAAGAACTAGATCTAGGGGCTTCTGAATCACTCCTGCGTTGCCGCAAGTGAAGTTGGAATAATCCAACTTCACTTGCGGCAACGCGGGAGTGGTTATTTGTGCACATTTCAAAATAAAATTGAAACGATGGCAGGAGTAAATGTGGAGATTCCAAAGGTTAGTGTATGTTATTATATCCAAATATAATATAAGTTTAATATAAAAAAATATTAAGAAAGCAATCGCGAAGGTAATATATATGATTGTGCATAATTCAAGATTGGAGGTTAAGTGTATGTTTTGGTCGTTTCGGAAGAGAAAAACGTACCGTAACATGTGCGTACGAATCTATTTCAATTCTTATAAACATTTATGACTTGGAACCGAACTTTAGAATGACACATCGGGTGATATAATTGATTTTTTTTTATGGCAGAAAGTATACACATGCGGATTATGCGAAATAATTCTTGGGGACCTTGAGGATGAAGAAACATGGTCCCATGAATGTTTTGCAAATTATTCAGAGATTGTTTTTGATGTGAATAGCTTGTATTTATATCCCAAATGTGGTAAGTAAAATATAAAAGGTGAAAGTGACCGATATAATACTATTTGAGCGAATGTAAAAATTTAAATATCTTGTAGAAGATGGAAGCATTGTGCGCCGAAGTGCGATTAATGGAGCAGAGCAGATTGTAATAGAATCGCCTCTTCCGACACAAGAGCCGTGCCCAGTGGAAAACCTGGAAGAACTTATCATTACAGAAGTGTCGGCACGAGAACTGTTATGGAATCAAAAACTGAGTATAACAAAACGTGACAGGCAAACTGTACAACAACTTTGGAAGCAAGTGGCTAATGCGACGAATGGTACGTATATATATTTGTGTGTGTATGTGAGAGAGAGAGAGAGAGAGAGAGAGAAAGAGAGTAGTTAAAGAAAACTCAATAGAATTAAAGTGATATAACAGTACGATTTTATTATTACAGGCGAATGTTCTGTCGATGAGGTAAAAAAAAAATGGAAGAACTTAAGGGATCGTTACATGAAAATAATCTCTCTTGAAAAGTTGCCAAGTGGATCAGGAAGTAAACCATCTCGCAGAAAGTGGCAACATTACGAATTGTTGTCTTTCTTACGTGACACTTCTTTGGAAAAAGAGTTAGTATTTCACAAAAGCATTCACTGCAATACTAAAAACAGTTAATATTGATATTATTTCATTTTATTGTATTTCAGGACAGTTTCAAATATGATGAGTCGTGAGGAAGACACTAGCAATGATGACACGGAAATCCAAAGTGTGGACGTCGTAGAAGTCAACGGTGCGATTGATGCATCAAAAAGTATTTCGTTCATAAGCTGTACGGGCAAGTAAATAAATTTAAAAACAGAAAGAGAATAATAAGAAGAATATGCAATAATAAAATAAAACTTTTGCAGAGTCTACAATGTAGTCGTTATGACAATACGACGCTGCAACGGACCAATCAGAGAAAAAAAATCATATATTCTCTTCTTTGATTGATCCGTCACAGCGTCGTAACATTGTAACGACTGCATCGTAGACCCCGCATTATATTCAAAATTCCACATTAATTATCAACCGACACACATATATATATATTGTAGGAAAATTGTACAAATTGAATATCTCACTTGTTAGTACTATTACAGCTAGCTACATCAATTTTGTCCAATAATACAAAATGTATTATTATGTAAAAGTCATTCTTTCATTTTCAGGAATGAAAAGAAAACGAAAAAGTACTGAGCGCGAAGAAGACTTGATGAAGCAGATAGCAGAGGCCTTGCAGACTCCACGACCACCTTTGCCAACTCCTCCTGTTCTTGACGAAGTTGACAATTTTACTTCGATGATTGCCTGCCAGCTACGAGAGTTGTCATCAGTCCGCAGACGCGCAATAATGTTGAAAATTCACGAGCTCTTACGTGCTGAATTATTGCGTAACGACAATTCGGCAACAACAATAATATAACGTAAAATATAATAATATGAATAATATATGTATACGTATAGTAATAAAACGAGACTGATTTTGTTAGTGCAATAAAGCCGAAGCGTATTTATTCAAATAGTTATTACTCAACTGGACCGGGATACCAAGAAACATTAAAGTTATGATTATCTGGGAAAGTAGGAAAAAGAAGTTTTAAAGAATTAGTTTGCATGATTAAAAGGTGTGATTTATTTCCTTTGCATGTGTAGTATACAAATAATGATTATATCTGTGATGTCTAGTATAATATTATAAATAAAACGAAATAATATGCTAATGTATCATTTATCATTTTGCCATGCTACTGAGCCTTCATTATTAAAATATTTACAAAATTCATCTCTAATGAGCATGGCACCCCGAGTACTTGTATTTGTACTACATTTGGAGATGTCCACAAATGCACAACCATCTTCCATAATCGTCCTCCACGAACCTCGTATGTGATCACCCACAGCCGTTTCTTTATCCAACATACCTGGTGGAATATAATTGTTCTTCTCGATATCACTCTTGCGGAGCCAGTTATGAATGCAGATTGTACCTTGTACGATCTTCATAGCAGTTTCCACACTACTAATGATCGGTTTTCGATAAACTCGCCATTGGCTAGCAAGTATTCCGAAACAATTCTCTATCACTCGTCTGGCTCTACTGAGTCTATAATTGAAGATGTGCTGTTCGGCGGACAAGTTATTTTTGCCAGAGTATGGCCTTAGCAAATATGATTTCAATGGAAAGGCTTCATCCCCGACAATGCAGTAAGGCAAAGACGGGCCTCCTTTGTAAAAACTGTCCGATTTTGGGATATTCATTTGACCTGCATTAAGTTGTTGACCGAATCGGCTTTCACGAAAAATGCCTCCATCACTTCGCCTGCCATACGCACCAATATCGACGAACCGGAAAATATAATTGGCATCACAAATAGCTAATAGCACAATGCTATGACTGTTTTTATAGTTGTAGAAATTGGAGCCAGCATTATCCGGACACTGAAATTACACAAAGATTATTATATATTTTTCACATACTGCAAGAAAATTGGAGTCTGCTCGTATTGTTTTTTCTATTTATTTCCCGATAGTTTTTAATATTTGAATAATGCCTGAAAAGAATTATAATACAAGTATTACTTACTTGAATGGTTACATGCTTTCCATCGATTGCTCCAATGCAATGTGGAAAGTCCCATATATCTTCAAAATCTTCTGCGATGCTCCGCCAGTCATCTTCGAATAACTGAGGTGGAAGAACCAAAGGACACAAATGTTCCCAAATAATCTTGCATGTTGTAGCAATAATATTGCTTACAGTCGTCAAGCCTACTAAATATTGATATGTCATTGAAGACATGGAATCACCAGCTGCCAGAAATCTGAAACGTAATGCAAATTGATGTAATGCAACATTTACATTCATATAACTAAAATAAAAACAAAAGATGTTTACCGTAATGTCAACGTCAATCGTTCTGCTGCACTTATCGGCTCTCGCACGACGTATTGTTTCTCTAGATGCGGGCCTACAATGGCTAACAACTCTTCGTATTGCGTGGTTGACATCCGAAAATAATTATGGAACCGCAGATCTTCCAATTTAAGTGTTGGCAGCAAGGCATGGTAAAAACCATGCTCACAGCGTTTTTTAAAAATTGGAGCAACCCAGAAACGCTTCTTTTTGTTGATCCGTCTGTTTTTTGCAGCTAATAACATAGCTAATGATCCGAGCAACTTGTCACGTCGGTCTGCTTCTACATTCTGTTCCTGACTGCACTGCATTGACCACTCATAAATTTTCATTTTTGCAGACATGATATATTGATTATTTAAACTGATAACTGAGATACTGAGGAATTGAGGTTATATTGTTTCGCGACAAACGCGATGACGCCGAATTCGCGCGGCAGACGCGGCAAGCGGCATCAGTTTCAGAAGCCCCTAGATCTAGTTCTTTCTGAACTGCCGCGCGCGGCAACTTGCCGCGTCCATCAGTAGGCACCTTTACGAATAAAGAATGTTAGTCTAAAAATTCTCATCTGATAGCCAATCGATATATCCGGTAAATTTTCCCAACATTCTTAAGATAGGACGTTCACAAAAAAACGAAATGAAGGAAATTATGAAATTTCAATGTTCAAACCATAAAAAGTAAACCCTATAATCAACGTAAAGAAATTAGATTATCTAATTATGGAATAGTTTAAATGATGCGTCGGAGAAATATCTTATCACACTATGGAGAGTTAATTATAAAAAAATAAATTTTTTTAAATATATATTGTCATTAAGAAAATTGTTTAAAAGGTAAAACATAACGCACGCATAATCTTACATTACATCATATGTATGTAATTTACGTATTATTTTCAGTGTCATATAAAAATGTGTAATTATTTATAATTTATTACAATTGTCATAATTTCTTGATCTATTTTTCGATACATTTACATATCTCAATATATTCTGTATTTAATAGGCAATATATAAATAAGTAATGATGATTGTCTTAGTATTTATTCACAGTTGTTTATCAGTTCAACTAATTCATTATAATATTTATCAGTATAGCTATATCAATTATAATTGTAAATACAATTTATCAATTCTAGTTTTGCAAGAAGAGATAGAAAAACCTAAATTAACACTATTAATGCTTAAAACTAGTACGCAACTTTGCTATCATTATACTCCATGATGCCACAATTGTGTAATGAAACGAATAATCGATGGAATTGGTCCACATATTTACTGTAAAGAGTATTGTTTTACCTACACCCAAGTAAAGTAATATCTTTACACTACTAGGATAAATCTACATGTGATATTTGCAAGTATTATTTACATAAATTCCTTCATTTTCTAAATGTGCTTAAAGTACTTGATTATTTTGGATTAAATTTGCATGTGTATTAATAATATATATTATTGATATATGGACCAATGAATTATAGAGAATGCAATTTTTACTAAATAAAACATTTGTGAGACTTGTATATACATAAGACTCAACAATTACGTTTTGAACAAACTAATAGGCAATAACAACCCTTTATATATATTTATTATATTAAATCTTACAAAAAATATTATATTGTATATTAGCTATATATTGTAAGATTTAATATTTAACTAAGAGTGTGCATTATATGACTGGTAAGCAATCGCAGATTATGAAAAGAAAAGAAAATTTTAACTAGTTGTGTAAAATTAGTGAAAGTTAGTACTTGCACATCACGGTTTGCCAAGACCAACACATAATCCTTCCTTTTCTAGATATAAATTCAAAAATTGTTGAGTAATTATTACACGAGCAAAGACGAGCTGTACCTCGTCTTATTGTTTAAGTATTTAAAAATATAAAATATATAACCCCTTTAAATAACCTCATATGTTCAATAAAAATAATATAAGATTATATGTATAATTCTACATATAATTATTTTAGATTAACTTGACTCCTTGATAAAAACAAATATATTACATATACATATATAATATATATGTATATGTACATAAAATATATATATTTATAAAGAAGACATATATATATGTTATAATATATATTAGTTACATATATATACCTATATGTATATATGTGTAAAATTAATTTTTTTGAAATTTTATTAGTGCAATATAAAAGTAAATATTGAAATATTTGAATTAAATAATATAGAAAATATTTTTACTCATTTTTACATCACATTCTATATAAATAAGGAAGACTTTGTGCCGACTCTGGTTAGAACTTTAAAATGTAATTCAATTATAATTATTCTATTCGAGATGGAGTAAGAAAATCGCGAGATAAAGGTCATTATTAAACAAACAAAAAAAACGAATATCAAGCTATTTGACATATCACTTAACGACCATCCCGATACTTTGACGGATTAAACTCTAGTACTTTAAAGTACATATACTTCTCGTACATGAAAAATGCTTCTCTATACTTCTCTATTAATATTATTATTAATATGGCTCAACTCCAGACATCGCTCGAGTATCGTTTCTGCGAATCCATCTTCTTGATATAATTTGCAGCATCGAGCTCTGACATGTTGCCCCGTTCCATCACAACCTTGAGTAGTATATTGTGTACATCACGAGCCATATTTCTAGCATCCCTAGAAAAAATACACACAATTTACATATTGCAAAAACATCGAATCTTCTTTTTGCTGTAATAGAGAAGTAAACTTCGAACTAACCCGCAAACGTAAATATGTCCGTTCTGTTCACCAATAACACGCCAAAGTTCTTCCTTGTTCTTCTCGAGCAAATGAGTGACATAGACTTTGTGCTCTTGTTCGCGACTAAACGCTGTGTGCAACGTCAAGGTGCCGTCCTTTACGTACTGCTCCAATTCCTCACGATAAAGATAATCCTCTTGGCTTTTTCTGCATCCAAAATACAGTATTGTGTCACCCACCTCTTTACCTAGAATCAAGATTAAAACATTAATATACGTTTCATCATATAGTAAGACAAAATGTTGTATTATGAAATATCAAGAATACAGAGAAAACTCACCTTCTCTTCTGGCAAGATCACGTTCTTGTATGAAACCTCTGAAGGGTGCTAAACCAGTTCCCGGACCAACCATGACGATAGGGATACTTGGGCGTGTCGGTAAACGGAATTGAGACTTTCTTACGAAGATTGGAACGACACAGGGCGGATCGGAGGGATGTTTCTCCTTTAACCAAGTGGTTGTCACACCCTTGTTGATTCTGCCAGTTGGGGTTGTATACTCCACTACTACCGCAGTAACATGAACAGAAGTCGGATGAAGCTGAAACACGGGAATTATAATTTTCATTAAATGATGAGAATATAATTAGTGAAATATATGCAATTATTTTTAAAATCACCATAAAATACCTTCGGAGACGAGGATATGGAGTAGTATCGACACTGTAATCGCGGTAAAATTTCGCATAAGTGATCCAATGGTGGTTTCAAGCTAGGAATATCTTCCAAAATGTGAACAATATTGCGATTTTCTTGAACTATCCATTGCTGATAGGCCGCCTTGCCTTCCACAGTAGTTGATGCCATCAGTTTCAACTTCTCCTTGTCCGCGGGATCGGTCGCGTATTCGGCCAATTCTTTGAGAATATGGGTTCGCGGGTTGCTCGTAATGTCCAAATAATGGGTCAAGGCGGTTCTATAACTGCAAGGGCAAGGAAACGGATGCTTCTTCGTGGACTCCTCTGTAAAATAAACGGAATAATTTAAATGACACACAAAAAATGTATAAATAGAAAGACACCAGGAGAAGAGTAAGTAAATAACCCACCATCTGTATTTGTAAGAGTGAATACGGTATCCAAATTCGCGCCGCATTGTTCACCGATTTTATTCACCAATTCCGAATTGTTCACCGGATAGACGGCCAAATGATCACCCGCCTCATAACGTATCTTGGAGTCTTCGATATCGAATTCAATATGCATGCAAGATCTCTCGGATGTCGGACCGTGTAGCTCGCGATTCACCTTGACCGGTGCCAGGAACGGATTCTTCGCGTCATAGGGTCTACAGATAAAAAGAAAGATGTTAGTTTTTGTACACAAAAACGTAGAAACATTTGATAGTAAAAAATAAATTAAGATTCTTACGTTCTCTGGTTTTGGAAGGAATGAAGACGAGCAATCTCTCCGGTGTAAATATGATCGGCAGGTAGATCCACGTGCTCCGTGAGTTTGTACTGTCGAATACTAACATCCTCGCCAGCACCTTCGATGCCAAAGAAGTCGCAGACGGCTGGCCAAAACTTGTCCTTCCATGTAATAAAATCGTCCTCAATGCTGCAGTAAAAAAAATATTGTTAAAAAATTGCTAATAAAGAAATAAGAAATAAATAGAAAAAGACAATATATTTAAAACTTACTTGGCATCATCATCTCCAAGACCCAATTCAAAAACACGCATAGCACCCAGTTGTTCCAATCTATGATCCACGTGTATGGCAACCTCGTTGTAGTGCTCATAAGTCTTATTACCAAGTCCGAATACCTAAATAAAAATCAAGAAATTATTAAAGAAACTTCGCTTATATAATATTTAAATTTCTACAATTTAATTCAATTGATGATTTGAATTGTATATCGATTCGCAAACGATACCTCGAATGGCGCCAATAATGTCGCGCTATGTCGCGTCGCGGCGCCGCGAACGTGACAGCGTTGTAAAAAAAGACTGAAGAATCTATTGTACGTTTTCAGATTCATAATTTACATAATAGCCTGAATTGGCGTCTGTAGGTAATTTAACACTCAAAGCATCGTTGAACTCTTTATATTACTAGAGGCACTGCATATTTATTTCCTATCCAAGACCAACAATTTCGCACACGACTCTCTCACGTGAACGTTACACGTGTACTGCTCTAATCGAGTCAATGGTGGCTATTTGTGCCATGCGCTTGCTTACGTAATGCTCAGTGACGTAACTAACGAAGGAATCTCCCGCGATATCAAGGGACCAATATTAAAAAATAAACAACACAAAAAGATAAAAAATAAAAAAATAGCAAATTTTTGTCACTCGCGTCATTATGTGACATGGTTATTTTATTCTCTTTTTTAATATACCGTTTTAATAATATTATTAAAATTATTAAGATCTTCACGCGAGATTTTCATTAGAAAAGACTAAATTTACTTACTTATGAATTAAAGTAGATGAGAAAAAATTAATCGAGATAATTAAATTTTGAAAAGCAGATATAACGCAATCCAGTCATACATGACGCCAAATATATTCATAATATATACATATATACCGCATAATTCAATCCTGCAAGCTCGACGTCACCGTTCTTGAGCCAATCAACAAATTCCATAGCGTTGTCAGTAGGATCGCCCTCTCCGTATGTAGCCAAACAAAATACTGCTAAACTATTTGGGATAGTTTTCAGATTTTTCAGCTCCTCCTATTAATAAAATATGTACAAACATTCATTAAACGTCATTTATATAATCACTAATCTTTTTTATTGCGAGTTATCCATCATAATGATCATAAGTGGAATATAAGATTGTTCTGTCAAGCATAATATATCAAGAATATGAATAATTAACAAGATTAATTAGCTGAAGAAACTTTACAAAATATGAACAAATAAATCTTTTTTAACAGCCTCTTACAATACAAAAAACATATCTCAAACGATAAATATGTAAAGTGTCGGTGAATTTGAATTATTTATAATTCGAATAAAATGATGCAATATTTTTTGTCGATGTATAAAAGATTTATAATAATTGCCGCGATTTACATGTACCATATCGCATTCCTCGGGATCGGCGACCATGCCCTTCATTTTGTATCTAATACCCTCTTTAGCTAAACGGCCTGCGAATTCCTCTGCAGTGCCTGTCTGGCTGCCGTAAAATACCACCAGACTCCGTCCGGATGCATTCAGTTTCTTGATGAATGAATTCTCCGATGGCGCTGTCATGGCAAACGACGTTGGTCTGTAATTGCGATAGAATATCATTGAGGGATTTCTGTAATTTATCGTTTAACCTTGCATGCATGTATATAAATATGTGCGGTTTTGCAAGTTTCGAAACCTCACCTCTTCTTGCTTTCTTTCTCAACGCAATACTATACCTTCAATCTCATGAAACCTTTTTTCTTTCTTCGAGAATAACTTTTTGAAGATATCCCAAACTTCGATTTTTTTACATAATTTCTTTACAATTTAAATATATCGAAATCTCTTTATTTATTTTTTTTCTCTTTTTGAGGTTTCTCCAACTTTTGTTTTTAAAAAAATTATGCATCCAAGCATGTGCGTCCGCAGAAAGGAGCAAAAGGAGGCATTCACTCCCATTTGGAATCAGTTAAAAAATTAAGCACTTGCTCTCCTTTTAAATAAACATTAAAATTTATTTACATATGTAATATTAAAAATATGAAAATAAAACAAAATAAGAAAAAATTTTTTTTTTAAATTAAAAAGAAAAATTAAAAACAAAATAATTAATTATGCCTCCTTCTACGGGCGCCCATCCAAGGCGCGGTTTCTTAAAATGAATTAAAAGTAAATAAGTACTGGATGGAGTAAGATTTCGTTGCCGGCGCAGCCTCCTCTCGTCTAGTTTTCCTCCATATGTACCATATCGTTGCTGCAAGAACAACGAACAACAAGACGAGGTCCAGAACGCTCAAGCCGAAGAGGACTCCGTTGCCGACATCCTGTTCGGTTTTGTCGTCTGAAGATCCTGCCATTCTAACAGCCTTCGGCTGTGACGCGTCCACCGTCTGTGAACAAATTTACAATTCAATGAACCAATTAATTTTACTGGAAATTATATTTTTTAAACATGCCATTCAAATAAAAAAATCTACAAAACTCATTTATTTTCGAATCACTCACAAAACAGTAGAAACATATAGAGAATTCACATTACAATACTGCTCATTATCTAATCTTTCTCAATACGCATTTCTCGTAACAACGATGTAATCTTTTTACATTCATGCAAGCTATAAAAAGCAAGTAGATATATACGTTATAAATATCACCATAAAACCTTCGGGTTAGATCCAAAGTCCAAATGTTCCTATATTCTCAAAAATAAATTTTTTTCGGAATATACGTTCTAAAAATATGTCGTATTAAATGACATTTTTGACCTTATAATGTTAATTAAGAATGTAAAAATGCCGCAAAAAAAAATAACAGGCACTTGACTAGCACAGATATGATTCAACTTTTATTATATCTCTCCTTTATCGGAGATAAACGTCAGTGAGAAAGCGAAGCTTTGTAAATGCGCAATCTATATTTTAAATATTAATAATATACGAGGTACATATTGACTACACGACGTGCTTTAATATTTTGCATTTCACTATTACGTGTAAATACGAAATTTTTCACTTAGCTCTTTTTTTCGCTTGTGTCTTTTTCATCTCTTAAAAAAAAAGCTGATGAATCTTCCAACAAAATTCATGTAAATAATATTCGTTGTACGTCACTATTAAAAATTATCATTCGATATCTGTCTGGGACTGATAAACGGTAGTCTTTGCTCTTTAAAACTCAAGAAAATTATCGTTTTCATAAACGCAGTCTTAAATATACAGGGTGTTATAAAAGTACCGGCACAGCAGAATAACTCGAAAAATATGAGTCTTAGAAAAAATGTTAAGTACTGGGTTTTTATTATTTTTTTCCTGGCTATCTGAACGTCAGATAGCTGTTCTGGTATTTTTATAACACCCTGTATATATTGTATATATATACTTTCAAAAATCGACTTACGTTATACAAAACTAAAGAAGATTCATAATAAGCACACATAATATTCATTTAAAAAAAATTAATATAATTAAAAATACTCTTTATTTACGAGAAATGGATAAATTTAAATAGACGCTGACTCGAAATAATACATTTCCCACATAAGAATACCGCGTACTTGATCATATCCGTTTGTTGATATTAACAAATAAAAAAAATAAATAAGTCAGTAGATTATTGTGCAAGAAATGTATGTACGCATTTTATATAGATCGATGTTCTAGAAACGAGCATTTGACAACAATGTGATTATTTACGTTCATTGTTAAATAACATATTTTCCCTTTTAATAAAGATAAAAAAGAGGAAACGCTATCTATCATTATATGCTGTCAGTTATTAATATATAAAAATTAATTAACACAGAAAAATGATAGCAAGATATTTCATAAAATTTAATAAAATATTAATATTGTTCTTAACAATTTAAATATTGTTTATCATAAATATTAAATATACAATTCATAAGTATAGATTTACATTGTTTATATTATTATTTATATTTGCAAAATAAGCAGTATATATATTTTTTATTTTGTTTATCAATTTTATAATTATATGTTGGGAAATTATAAAAATGTTCGTTATTAGAATACACAAGCAACTTATGCAAAATCATTCTTGACAGTTGTTAATTCCTCTTATATGATGTAACATATGTCATTGTTGATTTATGACTCAGGTGACTACGTGCGAACCAATGATGATGGAGCAGATATACATTAACTTTTATTCCACATTATTCAGCATTATTTGGCGCACTTCTTCTTCTTACAATCTTTTTCATCTCATTATCCTACAAGTAAACATTATGTCATCATTTTCAAGTCAAATATGTCTATGAAAACACACTGTTCATTACAGTATCGAATGCACGAAAGGATAAAACTTACATAATTATTGTATCATTGGTACTATTAAGAAGCTTATATAATAGATGGAGAAAACAAACAAAATAATTACATTCTCGGTCAAAGAATTCCTGTTATCGTAAAAAAAATTATTCCAACATTTATTCGAGATACTTTAACACTGTCACTAAAAGACGATAGAGAAAGAAATTGGTTTTTATATCTTAATATTATTTATTTTTTCGTTTCGTTTTGCTTTTTTATCAAAATCTCTTGGACATATATTGACTTTTTTATTTCTTTCGCAGATTACTTGGAGCGAAAATAATGCGATGACTATCGAAAACACAAGGTCACTTATATCAACTTGAATACTATTGGGAATCTCATTTTTACGTCCATTTAATTCTGTTATATCCATCAAGTAACACGCTTTTTTGAAAGTGACATCATATCATGTATCAAAAATTAGAGAAAATTAATGCGTTATATCGTTATATGACTTTAATCAAAATTTATCTTATAAAGCTACTTCTATGTTAATTAATATATAAATTTAATGAATTATCAATTTAATTTATTGTATTCATTAAATATTCATTAATTTTAATTGGACGTGTTGCTATCGAAAAATAAATTACGTAAACACACGTGATAGTAATGTGCAAATATACAAAATAAATAAAATCTGCTTACTCAATTTTACAAAAATATTTATCCTGTATATCCGATCCGCAATTTTCAGGCATAAATATAGTTAATCTCTATACACAATACGAAAATGCAAGGCAAAGAAACATTTGCAATGCAATGATAGATTTTAGCACGGTAGGAAAAATTAGAAATGTTCTGTGAGATATGTAAAGTACCTTACAAGTACAAAGATTATCGTATCTTACATGTTGTTTATACAACTGCGTAGATTATCATGTTCTTTTGTTTATATTATCTATTTTTATGTTGTTCCTCTTTTATACAGAAGTAAATTCTGTTTACATAAAAATTATATATAACATTCTTTTACATATAACATAAATAAATGTATAAAGTAGTCGTTTCTTTTAATATTTATACAATATAATTAATAAGAAGAGCTAAAAATGTATTAAAAGATCAAGTAACTTTTAAAAAATGCAAATCTTTTTTTGCATATAATATCAAGAATAAATAGGGGAAATAATAATAAAAAAATAAAGAAATAAATAAAATTAAAACATGTATGCTGCTTATTTTGCCTGATATAAATATAATATAAATAATTTATAAGATATTATTAATATACTATAAATTTCAGAAAATTATAATTTTTTTAAATACTCTATATATTAAATTACTCTATATATTGAATTTGCTAAAGTATATGTCATTCTCTTTAAATTTCTTAGAGTGGAATCTCAACTAAAACAGTAGATCTCATTCCAAAAGAGCGTGATCTCACTCTTTTGAAGTAAAATTCCACTCTTTGGAATTACAAAACAAAATAATGGACAATTCAAAATAATAATTTAGAATCAATTTTTTTTTTATAAAGTCGAAGGTCGAATCGATATTTCCTGTTCCCAGTTTGTTTTCCTGTTTTCTGTTTCTTATTTCTATGGAGACAGAAAGTATCGATTCGACCTTCGACTTTATAAAAAAAAATCAATTCTAAATTATTATTGTGAATTGTACATTATTTTGTGTTGTAAATTAAAAATCAAACAGAGTAAAAGAAACAAAAAAATACCGAAAAACGTCCTTAATGCGATATTCTTATTATTTATGTTTTTATATTATAAATGATTAACATATTATTATTTGATTGCAGACATATATATTAGCTTTTATGCATGGAAAATTTCATTAATATATATCAAGCTTTGTCATTTTACATTTTATCAGATATTTTGTCAAGCAATTTTCTATATACAATATACATATTAGCTTGTGACTTATTATCTGTTATGTAAATGAAAACGAACCAAAGGACAGCAAAATGCTGAATAGATTTATTGCTAAATCTTCAATACAAAACAGACGTGATATTATACTGTAGTGTCATAATACACTGTTCAATAAAATTACGATCACAAAAGAAGAGCAGTGTGTTGGATTTATATTCAAAGTCAATTTATACCGTCCAGTCGGAATAAAATTAACAAACGTTGAGCAGTAATTCGTCTTTTAGGACCGGTTGTTCCAACTCTTGATAAGTTTTACCCGACAAGTAGCATATCTTGTCCCTTTTTTAAAACTTATCTAAAAAAAGACGAAAATATGCTACCTATCAGGTCATCAAACTTACCGAGAAGTTGGAAAAAGCGGCCCATAACGGCGTAAACTGCATGTCCTTGTCAAAAACTGGAATAAAATAAATAATAAAGATTCTGCACAAGAAAAACGATCAACGTTGACATACACAGGGTGTTATAAAAGTACCAGAACAGCAGAATAACTCGAAAAATGAGTCCTAGAAAAAATGCTAAGTACTGGGTTTTTTTGATTTTTTTCCTGGCTATCTGACATTCAGATAGCCAGGAAAAAAATCAGAAAAACCCAGTACTTAGCATTTTTTTTAGGACTCATTTTTCGAGTTATTCTGCTGTTCCGGTACTTTTATAACCTTGTATGTGACAAAGACGCAGTTTTCGTGCATCTTATTTATACTACTATTCTCGTTATATATGATCGCAATTTTACCGAGTTATCATGACGTTACATTACAATGAAAATAAGTGTTACGTCAGTTTTGCATTAAAAATTCCATCTCGTTCATAAGCCTATTTATCATTTTGCTATGTCCGTTGACTCGTTTTCATTTGAATGACACATATAATAAATATATACAGATATTATAATATACTAAGCATACATTTTTTAATGCTGTACTACCTTGAAATCGATTTCAACATTAATAACTTTATTTAATATTCATGATAACCTGCATAAATTTTTAAATATAAAACATAATTCACATTTCAATAATTTTTATGAGATATTCTCTTATTGGTCTTTATATTATTTAATTTTTAAAATTCGTACCTGAATAATCTTATCTTATACTGCTTCCTATACTTAAATTAAAATAAAATAAAATCTGTTTCTTGATTTCAAAATTGAAATAAATTTGAGAAACTTCGAGAAATAATAGATTTATTATAAGGATTATAGATTTAATTATAAAGACGTACACACACACACACACACACACACACACACACACACACACACACACACACACACATACACTCTCTCTTCTAACACATTATTATATCAAGTACTTGAGAAGAATTACGTACTATTAGAAGAGAAAAAAAAGAGATAAATAATAATCTAACATAACTGCCTCGCTTTTTGCTGCATTTCACGCACGTGTATATATTTTCTTATATTTGAAAATATCTTCCTTGTCATGTGCAGTCTTCCGATGAACCCCTCATACATGAGGAAGTATAATAAATTATTCATTTACGTAATCTGTTCAAAGTTCGCAATTGTAAAATATCTATACATGAGAGATAACACCGAAAAATTGTATTCTAAGCACCAAGAGGATTCTCTTAATTTAAGAAATTTCTCTAAATTTTAGTATATTTTTTCTGAAAATATAAGAATAAATTAAAATATCATCTTAATCTTAAGATGATATCTTAATAAATTAAGAATATCATCTTAAATTAAGAGGATTCTCTTGGCGCTTAGAATACAATTTTTTCGGTGAAGAGTTTCATTCTCACGTCAATGTTATCAACATCATAAAAATGCTTGCATTACAATAATATTTCATTTCCTCTGTATGTGTGTATATGTGTGAGATCTTCAGCCTGCTTACCGGCAATTCCATACTCTATAAATGAATGAAGTGTGCGTGAATCTTCGGGAGGACGTGCAGATTCGGAAGTGAAAACGCGCGATTAATCACACGCGGTTGATTCGTGATACCTGAGCGCAAACCGCGAACGCGACCACCTGTCTCAGTGACAATCGGCGCGCGACTGACTGACAATGAGGCGAGATCGAGACTTCGAGACGGACTCTGATGCGACTCACGCACGCACGCACGCGCGCGCACGCGCGCGCGCACACACACACACACACACACACACACACACACTTATCTCCCGCGTACACACATCGTCGCAACACGACACGTATCAGCAAAGACAACGAAGTGGCAAGTCATGTTTCATGTTATTCGTATACATTCTGTCGAGTGTCACACTATTACGGGGTGTCCCAGAAATCCGAACTTTCTCCTAATCTATAAATTCAATAGATACTAAATCATAGATTTTATTGAAAAAATGGATTTCGAAAATCGAGAATTTTATTCGAACATTATTTGCCTATTTGTGCGTGTGTAGATATATTTAATGTTTAAAATTTTCTCTTGTTCTCATACAGGAAGTACACCTTTCAAATATCATTTGTATATGCGTTTCCGCTTGATGAAGCGGACTTGAAAGTTTTTCCAGACAGATTCAAATATAACTGCTTAAAGCAAATATATATGCATAGAATGAACGATTGACCAATTGACCAATTTCAAAACAATAAACTCATCGGTACACTATACAGAATATGTTAATTATCTTTAGACAGCTACCGACTGATTAATACTGTGCGTGTGCTTTTTATGCAAATCTATCTGGATAAAATTCAATGTCAAACTGAATACGTGATTGTAGGCATGTAAATTAAACATTTTACATACTTTATTTTTTCTGTGTGTTTACTAGAATACGATAACTTTTTGCGTTTTCTAGAACAATACAATAATTTGTTTATTACATACCTCATTTAATTCTGTTGAGATTTTCTTCACATTAAAAATTTTTTTTAAATATGTTATATATGTAATAAATATAATAAAAAAACTATAAAAATTAATTAATGAAAGGCTCGTATAAATTAAACAAAATTAAACAATCATATATAGTAGGCCAACTAAACGAGCAAATAAATAAGATGTAAAAATTTTTTTATTAATAGTTAAATCATTAAATTAACATTCCGTTACAGAATCGATATAAATTGTAAACGTTTCGACTGCACTACAGTCTTTATCAATACATAAAAATTAAATATTAAAATATAAAGTTAGATGTTAAAAATACAAAGTTAGTTAAATATTAAAATATAAAATTGAAACGATTCTTCGCTGTTGACCAATAGATATGCAAGGCGATTGGTCTGAGATGCCAAGTTATGCGACATTTGAGCATGCTACGGATATAATACGCGAATTAAATCAATGTCAGAAAAAATTAAAAAATCTTTCAACTTACATTATCGTTTTAACAAGTCCTTTTCCCCGATATTTCAAGTGTGTGTTGCGAAGTCTGAATACCAAATGTCAAAATAGAGAGCGTGATGTATTTATTTATTACCAATGTTTTTTCTAAATTATGATTCAGCAAATTTTTTAAGTATGTCAAAATAACTACTGTCTAACAATTCGGTGTCTGTATTTAAATTAATTCCATTTTTCTGTTCTTTAATGTGGATCATTTCAGATATTAGTCTTTTTTGGTAATTCTTTTCATGATCCATAATTTTAATATTGTCCCAGTCAAATGTATGTTGTTCGTTTAGAATGTGTTCCGTGATAACCGAATGTCTAGCAGAGTCTAATTTAATATTATTTTTATGTTCTTTAAGTCTCGTTCCTAACTGTCTTTTTGTCTGTCCGACATATGTGGCGTCACAATCGTTGCAATTCAATTTGTAAATAACGTTAGAATTCGTGGGGCAATTATTTTTGTCCTTTTGAACTCTTATGAAGTCATTTAATTTTTTAATGCAACGATATCCTACCACTACGTCAGGTCTTCTTATTGCTGAAGCAACTTTCTCAGATATTGATTCTATATATGGTATGACAAAATATTTAATGTTAGTATTAGTATTATTAGTATCTGTTATATTGTTATTATTAGGCTTGTTAAATTTCTTAGTTGAGAGATTTTTTAATCTGCGTTTTATTTCTGTGAAAATTAGATCAAGAGGATAACCGTTGGATAGCAAAATGTTAATAGCTTTCTCTATATTTTTTTTGTGAAATTGCGGATGTGATAGTAATAAAGCTCTATCTACCAAGTTATAAATTGTTCCTATTTTATGACAAGTCGGATGATTTGAAAAAAATGAAAGTAATCTACCTGAGAATGTCTTTTTGTGATACCAATCTAAATAAATTTTGTTATCTATTACTTTGATCATTATGTCTAAAAAGCTTATACAACGATTATCCTCCTTTTCCAATGTAAATTGTAGTCTATCGTTATAATTGTTGAATTCGTTCAAAACATATGTAATATTGTCAGCGGAAGTGCATAAAATAATGTCGTCTACATAACGGAAATAGAAAGTCATTTCGCAATTTAAATTACTAATTACTAATGTTTCCAAGTCCTGCATGACTATATCGGCAATGATCGGAGAAAGTGGGGAACCCATAGGAGTCCCATAAATTTGTTTGTAAGTTATGTTATTAAAAGTGAAAAATGTAGAAGTTAATATAAATTTTATCATACCTATGAATTCATTTTTGGGAATCTTTGTGTGTGACTCTATAAAATGCCATCTATTATTGATACCGTTTAATGCAAGATCTACGGAAACATTAGTAAATAATGAAACAACGTCCAATGAAGCTATTATGTCGGTATCTTGTATTGTTTTCCCTGATAGAATGTTGCATATATCAAAACTGTTATTTACAAAACTGTCCGCTCTAGGAAGGCTATCTTTTAAAATTTTATGAAAGAAAGAAGCAATATTATATAGAGAAGTATTTATTGAGGAAACTATTAATCTAAAAGGAATATTTTCCTTGTGGATCTTGGGGAGCCCATAAGCTTTAGGAAGAAGAGAGTCGCTTGAAAATAAATAATAATATTCTTTTTTGTTGATGAAGTCTTTTTTCAACCATTTTTTTAAACAAATATTGAGGTCTTTTTCTATTTTTGTTGATGGATTGTTTTTAACTATGGTATACGTAGAATCGTCTTCTAGGAGACTCTCAACTTTTTTTATATAAAATTCTTTTTCTAGTGCGACTGTAATGCTGCCTTTATCTGCTCTGGTAAATAAAATATTAGGATTTTGATTGCAGAATTTAATTGTGTCTTTATGCATGTGAAATAATTTTTCTTGTATGTCCGTTTTTTTGTCGTTATTGTTTAAAAATAATGAAAATTGTGGAATGGCAGCATTACGAATCGAAGTAAGATTTCTGATCCCGTTAGAATTGCTTTCTATATCTTTGATGAATTCGTGTATAGCTACTTTTTTATTTAAGTTAACTGGGAGACTAAATTCACCTCCCAATTGTAATAGATTGGTTACATTGGGGGGAATTTTTTTATCAGTTAAATTAATAAACCATTTCTGGTTAGTTTGTTGTAAAGGGTTATGTGTAGCATAACGAAAACTGTTAGCAAAAACAGTGTTATCAACAATATTTGTCGAAGATGTTGTTTTTAATTCGATAGGATCAATATTTTTAATGTACTCTGTTTCATGCGATTTACGTAGCCATAGGAATTTTTTCTTATGTATGAGATATAATTTTTGGTTGAACAAAGAAAAGGAGTTGCAATGGTGATTTAAAATCTCCTGCCAGATATAAGATGGTAAAAGATTTTGGAGAATTTGGAATTGTCTTGACCGTTTTTTATTAAGTGAGTTTAAAGTTCTATATAAATCAAATATCTCTATGTTAAGAATTTCAGTTTTGATATTATGCAACAAACCACGCATCCTATTTTTTGATTTATAGTGGTAGAAAACAAATTTATTATTACAGAAATTACGCAAATGGTTGGGAAACAAACAATATCTCTTACATTCCCTTAAAAATTTCAACTTCGACATTGCCTTAATTATCGCATAATTAAAATTTAGCCAAGATTTAAAATGTTTTAACGTTTCTAGACCAAAATAGTTATAAATAAAACTAGAATTAAAACGATGGTATTTAAACGGGTAATTAGTCACACGCATTATAAGGCCAGCGTTTATTAAAATTAATTAATGAAAGGCTCGTATAAATTAAACAAAATTAAACAATCATATATAGTAGGCCAACTAAACGAGCAAATAAATAAGATGTAAAAATTTTTTTATTAATAGTTAAATCATTAAATTAACGGAATGTTAATTTAATGATTTAACTATTAATAAAAAAATTTTTACATCTTATTTATTTGCTCGTTTAGTTGGCCTACTATATATGATTGTTTAATTTTGTTTAATTTATACGAGCCTTTCATTAATTAATTTTAATAAACGCTGGCCTTATAATGCGTGTGACTAATTACCCGTTTAAATACCATCGTTTTAATTCTAGTTTTATTTATAACTATTTTGGTCTAGAAACGTTAAAACATTTTAAATCTTGGCTAAATTTTAATTATGCGATAATTAAGGCAATGTCGAAGTTGAAATTTTTAAGGGAATGTAAGAGATATTGTTTGTTTCCCAACCATTTGCGTAATTTCTGTAATAATAAATTTGTTTTCTACCACTATAAATCAAAAAATAGGATGCGTGGTTTGTTGCATAATATCAAAACTGAAATTCTTAACATAGAGATATTTGATTTATATAGAACTTTAAACTCACTTAATAAAAAACGGTCAAGACAATTCCAAATTCTCCAAAATCTTTTACCATCTTATATCTGGCAGGAGATTTTAAATCACCATTGCAACTCCTTTTCTTTGTTCAACCAAAAATTATATCTCATACATAAGAAAAAATTCCTATGGCTACGTAAATCGCATGAAACAGAGTACATTAAAAATATTGATCCTATCGAATTAAAAACAACATCTTCGACAAATATTGTTGATAACACTGTTTTTGCTAACAGTTTTCGTTATGCTACACATAACCCTTTACAACAAACTAACCAGAAATGGTTTATTAATTTAACTGATAAAAAAATTCCCCCCAATGTAACCAATCTATTACAATTGGGAGGTGAATTTAGTCTCCCAGTTAACTTAAA